GTGTTTCATTTATGTTGATTCTTTGATTTTAAAAGATGATTCTTTGATCTTGAAAGAAGAACCTGAAATATTAAGCTGCTGTTTTACGCATTATGGCAGATGTCTGAAAATGAGGTGGGATGACTTTGTGACCTGCCCTCAGCAAATAGCCACAGGATTAGACGTATTTCTAGTTTTTCAGATATTTTAGCATGGGTGCAGAACAGCCCCATAACCCACAGTGTCATCTCCCCTTATCTGCAGAATAAGCACAACATGGGAAATAGTAATGACAGTTTTTCCAATTCTTGCTTTTTGACTAAAACAGAGAAAATGCAGCTGGTAGGGACCCTGGTGAGGCTCCCCAGTCTGCCTCAGCACCAAGGCAGGGTTGAACATTTCTACAGCGTTTCTGGCAGTCATTTCCTTCAGAGCAAGAGATCTCAAAGCAGCCTCCCAAGACAGTGGTCCCAGACAACCCGGTGCATCCACCTCCTCTTCTACTCAAGGCTTTAACCTCACCATGAAGTCTGCCAGCCAGGGTATCGGTTTGTGTGGCCCTGGTTGTGTTACTGATGTTCCAAATGGACAGACAATTGTCCATTAACAATTAAAACAAAACTTTCTGTTTGTTTAATACCAACATATGTTTAGTCCTGGCAACTTGAAATAAATTCAGTTAACGTTCCAGTTCTTAATAATTCAGTTTTAAATAAAGCCTCTGAAGGGAACAGACTCTGTAGAACACGATTATCTGTGTAAGTCTTAACTGGAACATTTCTTGCTTCAAAACTAATTCTTGTTTCATTAAAAGAGAAAACGGCAGAAATCCCATGCTCCCTGTGCTGTAGTAACCCAACCCTCCCTGTGTCTTTTCTCAGAAGAGAGCTGTCATGTGCACTGGTAAGTGTTCAAAGTGCATTGGGATCACCCTGTTCCCGCTGGCGGCATGTGCCATAGTCTCCAACATCCTCCTGTACTTCCCCAGTGGACGAGTTCTGCAGCTCAGCGAGATAACCGATCTGGTCTGGTTCTTCCATGGCATTCTGGGAGCTGGGATACTGGTAAGGGAAAAGTATTGCTACTTCTTCTTATTGTGGTTTTTGTTTTGTTTTGTCTTAAATTCAGGGCTAAGAAAACCTCTGTTAACAAAAAAAGTCGTAGAAATGTGTTTTGCATAAATATGTGAGCAGTTTAACTGGGAAGTTGGGTACAGGACTGGGAAAGTGTATTCAAGACTGGAAAAAGTCCCTAATTACAGGAATACACGGCATTCCGGAAATAAATATCAGGACTCCAAGTCACGAGGAAGCAATAGGACTGAATTCTCACTGTAGAGAAGGGTGACACAGGTGTTCGTCTTCCATGATCTGAAGCTAAGCTGAGGTCCTAAGCTCAGGTAGAGGTGGTGAGTTTTCACTATTTGCACTCCCTTGTTACTTCTCTAACTGATTTTATGCTCACATAATTCACAAAAAACACTAGGGGCAAAACTGAAACATGTTTCAATTGGTGTTCATTAGAGGCCCAGCCAACATTCAAGGAATATGGATCTGCAAATGGCTTAAATCCCAAATACCCGCGGTGTTCCCACACACTCAACCATCTCCTTTTGGGTTTGCTCAGGTTCGTATGTGCTATTCTATTATCAGTTCTCCATTCCACCACTCAGGAAAGATTGCTTTTATGTGGATATCCATAACTAGAAAGGAACATATTTGGGAACACTGATCCTTCCAACTCATTAGAAAGCCTGCTCCTTTTACACTCTTCCACTTATCCACCCAAACACGGATAAAAAGCCAAGCAGGTAACATGCATATCACAAGTACTGGCCGTTACACAGCCTAGGCGGATGGCAAACTGGCACAGAGCTGGCTACCTCCGCATCAAAAAAGAAGAATGTTTAAGAATAATTAACTCGGAAAGAAGCAAATCTCATTCACAGTCAGGCTATGATGCAACTACCGTTTAAGTCTATGGAAAAACTACAACGGATGTGGTTCAGACTCATATTTCCCGAAGCAGAAACATGGTATAAGATCATTCAATAAATTGTTCTCCACCAGCAGCTTGCCTGCTTCTTCTTCCAGCTACCACTTGGGTCTATTACTCACGCTGAGCTTGGACGTAAGCATGAGTTTGTGGAAGGAAGCCTAAAGGAAGAAGTGGAACTACATGAGAGACCTGTGGAAAATTCATATCACTGCAAGCCCAGGAGTCGTTGGCATTCAATGAAAGGAAAGGCAGATGTTAGGCATGAGAGCATCACAGGCTCATTGGAAACATGCCTTCTTTTAAGGCTGGGCTGTGGCCAGCATCATGTACATCAAAAATGAGAATAGCTAGTGAGAGAGGAGGAAAAATTTGCCTTGACCTTTCAAACACAGCATTAGGAGTGATTATCAATCCACAAACAATGCTGTTGGGTGTATGTGTTTTCCAGAAAACAGCATGACAAATGCCCACATGTGAAGAGAAGGGGAAAGAAAGCATTATCATCAGCTCCATTTTCCAGGTGCTGGAAGCATGAAAAAATGAACGCTGGCTTCTGGGCCTCTTAGGGAGCTAAGCAAGGGGCAAGAGTGCCCAATGACTGGAGCCTGGGACATTCTTGACTCCACAGTGAGGACAAACCAGACTGCACTGTGTTCCTCCATGCGCCCAGCTTCTCCCCAAGGGAAACTCAGGATAGTCATGTCAACAGGTAACGCAACCTTGGAGAACCCCCCTGTAACCAGGACACAGCCTCTGGATCCAAGACTGTGAGGGAAACTTCATAACAGCCTTGCCTGTCTCTGTGAGCCAGAAAACCTGCCTCCATCTGGGAATGTCATCCATAGACTGATACCTAGATCATCAGCACACCCTTTGGCTCAGCAGCCAGCTCCACCCTTTCCTCCTCCTCTGCTGCTTCTCTAATGGAAATTTATATGACGTGAAAACCTCTCTATTTCCTTATTTCAAAAGTTTAGTGTGTAAAGACAAGAAGACTGGCTCCATGTGTCACAGGAACGTCTTTCCTGATGGAAAGTCTATGCGCAACACCAGGAAATGCCGGAAGGAGCCATGGCTCACTCACCGCCCTCATTTTACCAACAACGGCCAAATCTAGCAATTCTCATTCCCGTGTCAAAAGGCAGGTGTTTATAATCAGGCATGTCAAAAAAAAAGAAAGCTGCCAAGCAAACCCTTCATCCTGATCCAGGCTAATACAGGACGCAGAAGTGCTCACAGCCTTCAAAGAAGAAAGACAGTCCTGGAGGAAAGGGAGTGTTGGTTTGATGGGCAGAGGTATCAGCTCTCCTTCTGTGTGCCAGACAGTGGTATGCTGGGAATGAAACTGCCTTGGGGACCACCTGGGGTTATTTAAGAGCTGACTTCTTTTCAGGAAGAGGAACGTCTTTTAACCTCAATGCTCTGCATCTGCAGGCCTCCAGCTGTGGTCCAGCAACCACGGCAGGTGCTGGAGGCTACCTCTGGAGTGTGCATAAAAGATAATGGAGAGGAAATCTTTTGAAAACTATTTAGAGGCCTGCAAATCTAAGGAGATTTCATAACACTGTCCTGCACAGTCTAACAGAGATATTCACACTCCACACATAAATTACCTGAGCTTCATTCACCATAGACATTCTGCTCTTCCTGCCCTACATGGGACAATGTCTCTTTAACATGTAGTCAGGCTGTTTTTACAGCTTTTACCTTTTTTGTTTGTTTGGGAGGTTCTCCTTCTTTCATTGACTTTGTAGGGACTGTTTCCTACTTTCTCAAATACTCATTTTCTTGTGTTGCTCAGTGAGATGCCCACACAAGCAGTGGTGGGAAAAGGCCAGGAAGCAGGAGTGCTCTGGCTGCACAGCTAGACCCACAAAAGCTTTCTTGCCCTCCAGCTACCAAACTAAATGCATCTTTTTCTATCTCCAGAGTGGCTCTGTGAGGTGGTGTTATATCCTGACATGCAGATGGTTACTGACTTTATTGTATCAGTCCAGCTCCACCTGATAATTACTGTGGAGAAAGCTGGTTTGAACTGGGAATTCCCTACTGAGTGAAGCCCATTTGTAGACTTCCCAGAAGCTTACCACAAGGAAGCAAAGCCAAATGTATTTCAGGAAGTCTAAGACTGATTTTCCAATTATAATCCAGAGCAGGATGCTCAGAAGATTTCAACTGACATAATTCTTACTCTAGTGATGCCTCTTTTCTGAGCAAAAATTCCATTTTCTCAAAGCTGACACATTTGTTTCTGAAAAAAACTACCAAAACCCTACTGAAAAGAAGCAGTATACCTTCAGCAATCAGGATTTCTGTACCAGAAACTTTCCAGCCAGCTCTAGCTGTAATCCCATGCTTCTTCCTGAGATACTCTTCAGCAAGCATCAACATCTACGCAGGTGTAACTCACAGAGAAGAGGCAGAAGGTGGTTTGCATTCGAGAAACGTGATGCCCCAGCTCCTAGACTTTAAGAACCATCCCAGCGGAAGTATTGTACACCAATTCATCTTGTGCTTTTCTCACAGGTTATTTTGCCAGCATTCATGATGCTGGGAGCAGGCGGCGCCGGGTGTTGCGCTAACAGATGTGGGGTAAGTGGATATTTATGTGTTGAAATGACACTATAGGGTTTGCGCAATGGCTCTTAAATGGCTGCTCAGCAGGTGGAAACGTACAATGACAAACCATCACACCACCATCAACAGCCATGTCAGGGAAATGCAGAAGAAGAGCTTGATCTACAGCGTCCCTGGGCTGGGGCTCAGAGCTCAGTTAGCCAAAAAAAATGTTATGATATTGCTGCCACTGATATGAGGGAAATCATACTCAGCCAGGCCAGGTGCTGGAGCGTTTAGCCACATGGCTGAGGGCAGAGGGGGACAAAACTACTTAACTTTAACCCACATAAAGTAAAGCAAGACTCTAGCTTCCTCCTGCTCAAGGCAATCCTAAAGATTGGGACACTTGCCTGTTCCTTCTGCTTCCCCCTGGTCCTGTTTCCTCCATACCCTTCCACAGCAATTTGCTTTTCCACAGGTTCTTACATCTGTAGGGGTAGGTAGGTCCCCTACTTTGCAGGCTCATGCTAAGAGCCTGAGCTGCTGCGGATGGCACTAAGGTGCCAGCGCTTCTTCCTGGAGGCTGGACCCCATGGAAGGCTTTGACCTGTAGCACACGTTTGCCCAAGCATTATGCACATGAAGATGCAAATGCCATTTGGGCTTTTTGTCATCCAGAGAAAGACCAGAGAGACTTTTTCATTGATAATTAAGAATATTATAAAACAACATGTCATACAGGCATCTCCATTAATGCTCAAGCCCTGGCCACAGGTTTCTACGTGGTTATCATTATTAGCAAGAACAAACTGACTTAGAATTTTTTTTTAGTCTGCATCCTTCCCAGAAGATGCCTGGAATGACAGATTCCATAAAATAAAACATGTTTTTTCTGTACTCTTCAGTTAATTTTTAGTTTGATTCATGAGAAGACCTTTGCCTCTTCAAGATGTTTTACTTAAGTTAATTCATTATTCATAACAACAAAAAAACATTCTTCGTTAGGATGTGAGCAACTGCATCCCAAGGGACATTCATTACATTGATTTTACCAATCGTCACATACACAGCAAGGAGGATTTTCTAATGATGACCAGGTAAGCCAGTTGCAGAGCTGGGATGTGAGCCTAGGCACCCTGAACCCAGCGCCTGAACCAGCTGCTTCTCCTGGTTTTGAGTGATGCAGAAAGCAGTGGTGAAAACCAGCCGTACTGTGGGAGCTCCCACACTCTGCTGAACGTGGTAAGTCACCAGACGAAATCCAGCTGAAATGGGCTCAGTTCACACAGCATCTCAGGTCTCCCTTCTCCGTCTTTCATCCCAGCACTAAATGTTACAGAGCCAAGAGTCAAACTTCCCCAGACTGGCTGAGTTCGCCGCCCCAGCCCACTGACGCAGGCAGTAGCACAGTGCCATCCTGCAGCCCACATTTGCAGACTCTCCATGTTCCTCCTCTCCCCTCCACCACGCTTTCACCATCTGAGCCATTTCTAGCAGCAGCATATGGATGCCAGGTACCCTGTCTGCACCTTCCCATCACTGATGGGTTACCTGAACACTGCTCCTCCGCTTCCTTGTTTGCTGTTACAGAGGAACACAATAGATGTTGAGAAAGTAGTTTGAGTACGTGCTATTTGATTATGAGCTGATGGCCAGGTGATGAAGCTGCTCAACCAAACTAAAGAGGCTCAGTGAGGACAGTATATCTTTGACAATGCTGTCTTCTGGGACCATGGAAATTGCGCACTTCTGAAGTTGAAAGGAGTGCAGCTTTACAAGTCACCCTGTAGTTTAAACAGAATGTGGCTCAATGTAGGGACTGGTACAGGAGCAAAGAACTAGTGGCCATGAATGGCATTAAAACAAACAGTTTCTCCTGGAACAGTTCCTTGGGAACGGCGCTTTCCAAGCATGCAAAAAGAGGTGAGTACTGCAGGGAGATCTGAAGGCCAACGATGTCCTTCAGGAGAAGGAGAAGAAACCTAGGGGAAACTACTTTGGGGATAACAGGGAGAAATGCACAGACACACACAGCACGGTTGCTTTGACATCCTGAACATATAGGCAGTATACCTAAGGCAGGGTATGGTGTGAATCACCAGGTGCTGGAGAGCAGAAGAGCTCTGGGACTGGTACAAACGTGCATGATGGCAGCAACTTCCCATTGTAAGGCAGGTCTGGGTGGACTCGATACGGGGTCCACAGCTCTTGGTGGCTTGTCCACCAGCTTCTGCCTACTGACAGAGAAATAGTCCCCACTGGAGCTACTGAGGAGCCTGTGTAATCCAAAGGCCAGTTTGATCACCTTTCTGCTTTGGGGACCTTAGGCATAAAATTATAATTTACTGAATATTCAGCATTGTTTTTCATAGGAAAAAAAAAGAAGACTATAGAGTTAATACTGATCAGAATTATTATTCAATTAGAACATAACAATTTTCCTCAGGATAGGGACTCTATCCTATTATATTCTATGCAATCCTTGGTTTAATACTGTCAGACTTCATCACAGCCTTTACACGTTGCTGAAATATCAACAACAGTAACAGTAATTGCTAAATTTCTTATCCTTTTATTCACTTTATTGAGTTCTCCAGTTCACTGTGATTATGTGCTGCATTGAGGAAGTTTTTCATTACTCCACTTTAAATTATTGCCTGCAAACATACCCAAAATGTTTCTTGTCCTTCCATTATGGAGTAATGATTTTGGAACGCAACAGATTTAGAAAGCTTCCGTGTCTTGCAGCTTAGTCTGTACACATCTGAAAGCATCCACTGCACTGGCACAATGAGGAAAAAAGGCCTCCCAAAATACAGTTTCTGTTGTTGCATGAGCAAACATGCTCCAGTATTTCTCTGTAAGCCTTCCTTAAGAGTCACTAGTAGAACAAGAATAGCCATAGCAACTTTCCAGACAAACAAACCTAGATAAGCAAATGTATCTGGATAACCAGGCAGGATATTAATTCCACATAAAAACACCTCCAGAGAAAGAAATGGAGAAGAAAGAAATGCGCATGAAACAAGAACCAGGGCAATAAAGAATAGCACAAGCTGGGACAAGAGGAGCTTCATAACTTCACCAAAGCAGCTGATGCAAATGCTTAAAGAATGAACGTGAAAAGTCTCCTTCAGCTCACCCGAGACAATCCAATTGTGTGAAGAATAGAGCAAGGAAAACATTAAAAGACCATCAGCGAAAATGATCACCTAAATCTTTGAAAGAAATAGAGAATAGACCAACACTATGGGAAAATAATTTCAACAAATTTAAGCATCCCAGTTTAGACCTCATGATGCAACTGAAGGCATAAATGAGGAAATGAAAAAATCTCAAAAAAAAAGCGATAAATGAGGATGGTGCAGCTAGGGAAAATGCTGAAAGGTTGAGATGATGTGATGGTTAATAACATTGTTGGCTTTCCATAGAATATGGGACAAGTCTCCAGAAAAGACTCCAGAAGAGTAGATACAATGGGGAAATGTCTCTGCATGTCTAGAAAATGCCCAGGATGTCCAGTTTAACAGCTGCAGCAACTTCAGACTCCCTTTCAGTGACAAGTAGTCTTTGTCTATATAAACACATGCACAGTAAAGGAAAGAGGTGAGATGAAGTCAGCCATACAGCCAACTGATTTCAAATGAGAAAATCATGTGTCAAAAACCAGTAATCAAAAATAGCCCTGATGGGTACTACTAGTATTAACCACTATCAAAAAACATAGTAGCAGCAAAATACCATTTGACATTTTCTATCATAGTTGGCTTTGGGATGCCCCATACTGCTATGCTGTTCCAAAATTAACCATTAGCGTAATTAGGATCCTTCAACCAAGATGCAGAATGTACAGTTGAAGTAAGTGAAAAAACAAGTGAGGAGAAGTGGTTTAGTGTAGGTAGGAGTTTCAGACAAAGTATCAGTCACTCGCCTTCACCATGAGGCATGGCTAGTGATCTTATTATGAGAGACAGTACACCAGCTACAACCCAGCACTGCCTTAGTCTGGGACAATATACTGAATTACCCACGTTTTGCTGACAATCAAGCTCTGCCAAGAGGCAACTCAGTCAATATGCAGATAGACAGAAAGAGGGTCCAGCTTTGCAAAAAGAAAAGACAGAGTTATTAATCAGTAATGATGAAATAAATCTCATGAGAAATCTCAGCAACTTCTAACTCAAGGATTGCTTTCGAGGCAAATGGACACACAAAATGCGTCAATTCACACACTGGCAGCATGCAAGGTTGTACAGGAAGCAGTAATCTCATCAGCTGGCAAGTTGGAAACTGCATTCACTGGCTTGAACATGTCTAGATAGTGGATAGTTTTCAGGGCTATGCCACAAATCTGCAACATGGGTGGTGGATATTTCCATTCGACTCTGTAATGCAGCGCTCTGTGGAGCAGCTGGCATTAGGAGAAAGTTTCTGCTTTACTTGTGGGCTATTAGATTTCACCGGTATTTGCTGGCAACAGGCAAATGTGAGGCCTGAGGTATTTGGCTTCCAACTCAAGTCGTGGACAGGAGCGTTTCCCATGTGCTTCCTCTGCCGTGCCTCTGCCCTCGCTGGGAGGCAATCTTGACACCTTGCTCCTAGTCCAGGTCTTCCCCAGGCTCTGTCAGTCCACTCCACAGAGTTTCTTCTCTCTTCTCCTTCTTGGCAGAGTTTTGAACAACCACAGGCAGGGACTCTTAACAAGACCAGTGGGAAGCCTGTCCCAGGTACACCTGATATTCTTGTTTCTATGTACAAACAGCAAGCAGGTTCATCCCATCCATTAGTAGAAAACTATCCCAAAACAGAGTAAATGTATCGTTTCCGTGGGAGTGGTGGACGTGAAACGTACACGTGCGTTGCATAGAATTTGAAGAAACTGCTGGTTCGTTGCCGCGCGTAGCACAATTAGATTTCTCAACACGAGCAGTGGTAATCACATGTCATGTTGTTGCAAAATGAAGGAAAGCAGCAATAAGAAAGGCTCTTTTGCATTCCTCATCAATTAGCAAAAACAACTAATGCACCTTCTGTTGCTTTCATACCTGGTTCTCTAGTTGCTTGCTAGTTTCTGTTGGTACAAGGGCTGAGAAATGTGCTTGTGGTGAAGAGCTGGAAATGCCAAGGCACAGGATATGGACCACATTGAACCAGTGTTGGCTTCATATTGGCTTTTTGAGAGAAAATCCACTAGATTTTTTATAATCGATGTGTCCAGTATAAAACTCTGCATAATTCAAGCTCTGTACATACCCACTTTTAAAAGCAAAACAAATACAGTCTGAAATCTTTTAACATCTAGGATAGCTGCACTAGTAAGAAAAAGTCAACTATTTTTTATTCCCACAAATACCACACTATTATTATGAGTTTCAGCATATAGCAAGAAACAGGTAAAATACATTTCTTTCCCATTCAGTGTAAGCTTTCCATGCTACTCGATGTCTTTGTGCATGTGATGCTGAAGGTCTTTTCCTTTTCAGATCCTGCTGTCAGTGGTTCTGGCTGTCCTTGGATTTGTGGGAGGAGTGTACTGTGCAGTCATCTCCTCACTGGGGCTGATTTGGGGCCCTCTTTGCGACACGGGTGATGGAGAATATCTCTACCCTTTCAGGAATGACACTCTGGAGTGAGTATGACTTACAGGCTTCTCCAACTTTGCTTTCCCTAATCCCCCACGTACACATCTTTTTATACCAAATTTTAATTTATCCAAAGTGAACTGATGGTCCACCCGTTCTACAAGTAAATTCACGTTTCTCTGATCCAGCATGTTCCAGCTGGTTATCTCTTTGACCAAGGATCGTCTCTGGGCAAGCTGCCTGAGTTTCTTCTGTTGTGCTTGTCAGCAACCCCTTGTGCAAGTTGCACCATGCTTTCAAAAGGCTGCTGAGCTGTGACTCTCACTGCAGTCAAAAGGAAATATTCAATAACTATGCCATATTAATCTGTTAAATCATCATGAACTGAGTCTGATCTACCTACTTCTGAAATGCAAAGCAAAAATTTTCTCTGAATCTTTAAAGTTAACCTTGGCAACCACGCTCTTCAAACCAGAGCTAGAGATGATGGATGAACTGGACTGAGATACCATAGCCAAAATGGAGAATATGAAGACACCTTTTTAAAGCATAAGAGATCTTTCCCTTCAGTTATTAACACTGCCATAAACCAAAAGGGAGATTCTTGTGCGCACAACGAAGTACAGATGTGGCTCTCTTTTCTAGTCATCAGCTGCAGCTCTGCAAAGGAAAATCTGAAGAGAATCACTGGCTTTTGCCAATTGTAGCAGAATTTGAGACTCATTTTACATTGTGCAAACAAGTTCAGAAAATGTAACACAGAAAGCAGTCTCAATTTTTTATCTTCTAATATGTTGCCAATTATTTTTCTCTATCACAGAGACAATTATTTGTTCAAGCAGACAACATGGAGCATTTGCAAAGAACCTGAAAACATCGTCCTTTGGAATATTGTCCTTTTCTCTATTCTCCTGGCCATCGGTGTGATTGAAGCTATTCTTTGTTTTATTCAAGTCATCAATAGACTTACTGGCTGCATATGTGGCACATGTATGAGGAAAAGAAAGGTTGGTATGCAGTAAAAGATACCAGAGTGCTTTACGTTCTTCTCGCTTTTATTTTGCCCCCTCCAGTAATGCTACATGATCAGAGAGATCTGCACAGCCCCGAATGAGCTCCTCCGGGGAGCCGAGGTAATACGGATGTGTTTGCACACTGTCTCTCTCTCCATCCCATTGTAGTCAGGGAAAACTCCATCCTCAGGTATTTCAAAACACCGGAGCAGTGTGATGTACTGATATACTCAGTTGCATGGATGTGTTCTTATTCAAGAAGCCTTTTTGACAAAGTGTAATGACCCCTCAGCATCTGTAAGTGAGAAAGATGAGAAGCAGAGGTGGTATTAACTGGCCAATAGTAGTAAAAATGTAGTTTTACAAAATGGAAGAAAACCTCTTTCAAGTTTCATTTATCACCACTGCTTCCTTTTCATTCTTTATTTTCATTGTACAAGATGCTTGCAGTAAGTCTGATATCCCTCTGAAATATTAATTAATCATCTTTCATTCACTGTCTTTCAGACAAATATTTCCGGAATGTGAAGGACCTACAGGAGATGCAAAGACGAGCCCTGAGCTGCCAATTCACATAAAATAAGAATGGTGCACTGTGCTGTATTTATGGAAGGGTGACGAAGAAAACCCAAAATGTTTAGGAGTTTCATGGGGCAAAATGAATTTTTTACAAAGAAGTCAGGATGGAAAAGGGCTCGATCATTTAGATCTGAGACTCCAAATTTTCATCTCTCTAAATATTCCTGCTAAATCGCAGGTACTGGCAAAACCAATAATTTGTCTGGTCCTGACTGCCATACTTGTGCATAAAACACAAGAGTCCCCAGATAAAAGCTCTTGCGTGTACGAGAAACTTGCCCTCTTGCGTGTACGAGAAACTGAACCGCTGTTAATGCATACATTTTTCAGTTGCACAAAGTAGGTGCTCTGGCTGGACGTAAATAACCTCCCACCCCCTCTAAATCCCACCTTGAGCTCACTTGCCTGTTCCTATTAACTTACTAACTGGGCACTTCCAGATGTAAATTAGGATGTGCAGAGGCTATATTGAGCAGCATTTGCGAGAACACCACAGAGACAGTTGAAGCACGGGGTTTTCAGCCTCCCTCAACCACTCTGGAGCCAAATCCTCTGGCTCTCATTTGTTAGCTTGCTGTCATGTTTGACAAAGTCCAATGTACTTCTAAATCATTTCTTCAGGAGTATCTGAGAAATGAAGCCCTGGAGGGGTATTTGGGTCAATATAGACGCTAGGGTTTGGAGCAAGAGTTTAGCAATGTCCAAGAAAAAAGAGGATAAATTCAGCACCAATTTTGCCCTCATGAGACTGCATAGGAGTCTCACTAATTTCTACACAGGTCTGTAGGGTTATTCTAGAATAGATCACATGGACAAAGCAATTAACTGGTAAAGATAAACATTACATTGATAAAGGTAGTAATTATGTGCAGCTTAGTAACAAATAAGAGAGATAATCTGAAACATAACAAATTGCATCAGTCTTAGTGTTACAGCAACAGTAATCCCAACCAGGAACTGTGTAATTCCTCATCATCACTCAAGATCAAGCCCTTGATGCTAAAGTCCATGACTAGTAAATCTCAAAAACCCCATCATTTCAGTGACTTCCTCAAAGGATAATTCTTGGACGTGCCACTGACTTCCCTGAGTCAGCCAAACTATAAAATAATCTTTATCCATCCTGGAGGCATGTATGCAGTTATGAGAATATGAATAAATTTAAAACACTTGGAGTCTGTTTTTCAAGGAGAGGCATTTATGTTTTCTCAGTCAAAAGTTGTTCATGTTTCTGCATTTCAGCATGGGAGCAAGTTATGTGAACACAGTTATTGCAGACAAATACAGCTGTTTGTGCTGTCCTCTAACGCAGCACAGAAACTCCTTTACACAAAATGGGGAAGAAAATATCAGTTGTGCCAAGATGAGGAGCATATGCATGCTTTCTTGGAGCATAGCTTCACCCTTAGAAGCAGGAAATTCGCCCCATAAAACTTAGAAGTACCTTCTGTAAAAAAAAGGGTAGGACTTGTTAAAGTTTGCAACCATGACTAGGTGCATTCAAACCTGTCAGGTGGCTTAAAAACTCCGGTTCATTGCCAGCAATGAAGCCCGAGCAGTGCTACCATATAAATCAGTCATCAAAATAAAGCCAAGTGATTCAAAAAGAGTCAAGGAGGCAGCTAGAAGTAAGGATGTTCAGCATGTAGCCAGACAGAGCGAGACTCCTTCATCAGCAGAGGGGCTCTATGAGCTCCTCATGGTCCCTAAATATCAGCCTCCCCTCATCCTTTAGTTTTGCCTCCTTGTCTCTAATTTATGTGAAAGAGCCAGTTTGGGCTGTGCCAGGAGAGGGAAAGGTAACCATTGGCACACACCGACTCCAGCATGGGAAAAGTAAATGTATTGTAAATGTACTGTACTGCTGCCACCTGCTTGTTCCAAGCTGTCCTGCCCTGGGGATGTTTATTGTCGTGTCTATGTTCTTAAGGGGACACCCTCTGTCCTGCCAACTGTGCAATTGCTGGCCTCACTGCTATATGTAAATATTAAATATTGTTATTCTGAAGTTATTTTCTGGTTTGATTTGTGTCACCTAAAGGGACTGTGACTTCAAACTAACTCTGGTAGGAAGAGACATGGAATAACACAGAAAGTAGAGTTGAATTCATCTTGTTTGACTTGAACTACTGAAAAGGAGTCTTTTCTGTGGTAGACGTCAAGCTATGTAGTCCATGGAAAGAGGCAACCTTCCCCCAGCCCACACTGAAAGAGATATCTAAAGCTGGCAGGAGGAATTGCCTCTCCAGGCAACATTCAGTTGCCCACCCTAGACAGGAGCATCTGATGACATCTAAAGTGCAACAAAGCATTCTGCTCAGCCTCCAGGTGCCACTCGAGGTGGCAAGAGTCACATATGTCCTGTCTGTCATGTCCTGTGTTGCACCTGAGAGCCACTCTCAGATCTCTGGAGACCCAGGTATCTCAGCTGGACCTAACGACGCGGAGGTGTGGGTGATCAAAGCAAATGCCTGTCCCTTGCAAACACAAGGACGCTAAAATTTCGTTTACCTAAGAAAACTAAAGATGGGCTAAAATCACGTGAAATCATTTCAGCTCATGGCTTTTTGGGCCCCGTAAATTGCCTTTTACACGCATCAGAGCCTGAGCTCTCAGAAGTGTCACCAGAGCCTTTTCCAGGAGCTGGTCGGCACATCGCAACAGAGGCAGCTCCAGGCACTGCAGAGAGAGCTATAAGAAAATGGCTACATAATGCTAATAACAATAATTTTGTTTTGGGCAGAGAGTTGACTCGACTAAAGATAAAATATTATGTTTCAGAGTTGGTATTACTACAGATTTTAATTTGTTGGGGTTTTTTTTCCAAAATGGGAAAAATTATTTCAGTGAAATCTCCTAAGAAAAGAAGAGAGGCATTTTGTCTCTGAAATGTTTTATGTATTGTACATATGAAGAATTTAGTAAAACTAAGGAACTCGTAATAGTCCTCTATATCTATCTTTCATCTGTATTCATTGTCTATCTATCTACCTACCTATGTAACTATCAATCTGTCTTCTCTGTATCAATCTTAAATAATTAATGGTCAAAAACTTACACAGGCATAATGACAAAATATTTGTTTAATTTTTATATTTATTCTCGCTGTGCAGTCTCACCGCACAGGCTCTCATACAAGGTGTAAAAATATGTCACTTTCCAATCAATTTCTCTCTCTCTCTCTTCCGCATTTGAAACTCATGCAGATCGGCCACTTGCAAGTCTGCGTTGCTTGGAAAAGATAATAATTCTAACGTGAGGAAAAGGAGTTCCTGGGATTGACTTGGTATAGGAATAAAACTTCAGACCAAGCACACCATGTGAAAAACTGTAAATGTCTGGAGACAAATAGTCTGGTATTTCAGCTGCTGAGATCAAGGACATGATTCAGATACCTGGGTTGGAAACCAAAGACTAGTTCATACCATCTCAAGAGGAACTGTCAGATCATTTTGATGCAAATAGCTCAGATGCCTCAGGACCCAGCCCTCAGTTTTTCTTGGCATGCAGAGTAAAGCAAACCAGTGCCAGACTGGTCCCCACCTCTGCTCTGCTGCCCCATCTCCAGCCCTGTGTCCCTCCTCCCAGGGAGCTCCTCATAGTCAACCACTTCAAAAAGATCCCTGTATTTCGTTTACATGGCAATGTTTTTGTAGCGGGGGGACTACAGGAGTGGTTTCTGAGAGAAGCTGCTAGAAGCGTACCCCACGTCCAATAGAGTCAATGTCAGCTGGCTCCAAGATGGACCCATCACTGGCCAAGGCTGAGCCCATCAGCAACAGCGGTAGTGTTTCTCTGAGAAAAAAATTAAGGGGAAAAAGTTACTGCACAACAGCAATTGCAACTGGAGAGAGGAGTGAGAAAACTTCCCTGGCATAGAGCATGCCTCACTTTCTTCCAGGCACTCCTCTATTTTTATCAACCACCCATGTCAGAGTTTGTTGCATCAAAGTCAAGCAATAGGGAGAGAGAAAGAGCTCAGCTGAGTATCCTCCAGGTAGATACTGAGAACAATTTGAGATACACCTGAATATCCGGTCTGCTGCTCCAGAAGGACGTGTGTCTCTTGCAGAAGCTCTGTAACACCCACTTGCGAATGTGGACATCTCAGAAGCTTTAGAGCATCTCAGGTGGCACCAGCCATCTCTACATGAGAAGCCAATTCAAGCCCTGAAATATCTACTGGGTACAGCAACACAACTCTCAAAAGCAGCCTTGAGTCCAGCAGCGTGAGATTTACCCTTGCTGTGTCCTGCCTCACAGAACCTAAAATAGATCAGTGAATCACATCCTAAAATTGCATATTTCTGCCCAGGGGTTACACAGGGAGCTTCGGGTGAGAGGCGCAGCAACAGGCACCCAAAGCTGTAGCCCTCCATTGTGAGTGGGGTGACATCTGTTCGTTAGATTTCCTGGGTTTGGTAAAATAGATGCCTTTGCTGAGAGTCATCTAGTGGCAAAAGAGCACAACAGAGTCAGGGAGAAACTGGTCTTCTTGATACAACTTCATGCTTTTACAGTCCTTCTTCCATGCGTTGTATATCATCAAAAAACACTCCAGCTTCAGCTGAACTACCTTACACATACTTTTCTCTAAGTCTCCTTCATCCCATCATGTAACATTTTCACTTACATTTTGTCCTACTACATCTGCCCTCCATGCCTCTGGGTCTTTAAATAAAGTTTAATTTCCCAGTGGATTTTTATGCCTGCCACTTTTTACTGGTTTTTTTTTTTTCAAGAGATGATAAAAAGCAGAGTCAGTCCAGACGTTCTTTGCAGATGTCAAAGAACAAATTCAAATCTTGCTTGGGACATGTTGAATTTAGTTGACCCCACATGAAGGATGCAATGCCAGACGTTTCCTCCCAGGAGTGCCTGGCTGCAGAGCGGGCTGAGACCTGGCTGCATGCACCTTCAGCCACGTGCACCTTCAACCCTGTCCTGTTCCTGCCCAGGAAACATGCTGCAAAACCTTTGTTTATAGAAATAAGCTTAGCGTGTGTCTGTATATAAACAGCAGACGGCAAAAGTTTTTTGAAACAACCCATTTTGAGCGAGTAAGGCAACCCAGAGAAACCAATGGCTCCATTGCCACCAACAGCTGCAGTTTCTATGACTCTATAGCTGGTACAATTAAGGCGAAAGGGAGTGTTTCTAATTACCACTCAGAAAACGTGCCTTTAAAATGCACAGTGTCCCTTTTTGTACATAAATAATTGGGTCAAACTTAAAACCCTTTACTCAGTCAAAACAGCACTTGATTATAAATAGAAAGGAATATTTCTCCTAAGGCAAGATAAATAATCATCTGGTTGTCAGGCTTTTTTAACTTTTTTAATTTTCACCTTTTTTTAAACACTTCTTGTAGTTTAAACACTGCCAGATCACTGCATAACTTACTGAACCCCTATTTTCCCTTGTACAGAGAGGTGCCACAGAAAACATGGGGTTCCTGCACTTCTCCTTCCTTCTTCCCACAGCCATCACTCATGAACCCGTGTGTTCCTACCATGTCCTGCCCATGGGACGTGCTTAACCTGTGCCACTGTCATTTCCATGCACAGCTACGCCTGGCTGTCTGCAGGAGCTGGCACACTGCAGAAAACCTTCCTAAAGATTTGGGCTTTAAAACTCCTGCTCCAACTGTATCTGTGAAGAAGAAATCTGATTTCCATGAGGAAAGGAAATTCCCACTTCACAGATGAATGTGAAAATCCAGGAAAGCCAAACAAGTGCCCTAAATAGGCCAGTTTTTACAAAGAATTGGTTATGAAAAATCATGCCTGGACAGATGGAAAAAGATTCACAGGGTAACTAAGAAGATACTGGTGTGGTAACACTATACTAAATATAACTGACTCATTTCCTTAAAGCATATATGAGTTTTTTTCAGAATTACATCTGTTTAAAGGGAGCTTCACAAAGTAGTTTTAAAAAATTTGTATCTTTCCTGTAGTTTTATTGCGGAGTCTAACACCACCTTGCTCTCCTACCTGTTTCCAGCAGTGAAATGATAACAATCTTGCTTCAAGTATCAGCGTCCAGCTCCTTTGGTCAGCGGTAAATCTTCTTTTACTGTTTCCCATATTTATTTTGATGATTATTGTGGGTTTAGTTCAGTCAACTTTAAACAGACAAATTCTTAGCCCTATCTTCTGGATTAGCCTTGTGCCTAGAACCTAGAGAAATTCGGGTTATTTTCATACTCTTGTATATCAGACAAAACATAACATTTCCCCTCCTTTAAGCCGAGCTGGTATTACCCTTTATATCAGTGCTCCATTGCTCTTATCAACACTAATTCCTACCCTCTTAATCTCTGATCCCCAGAAAAATAAGACTGGATATCTTCTGAAGAAGGGGGAACACTGAAGAATTGCCAGTAGCCCTCCAAAGACAGAGGCTCTGCATCCAGTCCTCAAGACTTTTGGGTTTACAGCTGTGTTTCATACTGCATCTTTCCTTGCAAAGTACAGCAAACCAAGACTTAGCAGTTTCTTTACAAGGCGACACTGTTTTTTGGGATTTTTTTTTCTTTTTTTTTCTGATTGTGGGCTAGATCAAAGAATATTATCATCAAGCCATTGTTCCTCTCTGTGATGTAAATTAAGCAACAGAAAATGGCTCTAAATATACCAGGCTTAGTATCTTTGAGTGTGTTTTTTATGTTAACTTTAGCTATTGGAATTTGGGCTTCTTGGAAAAGCAAAAAAGAGCAGCAGAACAGAAACCCAACTGAAATGGCCATAGTTGGAGGCAGGAATATAACCGTTTTTATTGGATTGTTTACTGCAACAGGTAAGTTTTCTTAAAGGACTTGTAAAAATTCTTCTTAAAACACACGCCATTACATAGGTCTGGGGGATTTTTCTTTCAAAGCAGATGAACTCCTTTAATGTCAGGGCAGATTTTACGTAAGTGTGGCTTTAAAGGAGTATGGTTTCATGAATCATTTTGGGATGGATTCTTCCAAACCTCTTCACACTGAGCAGAACCTAATGTTTATGTAGATTCTTTTAAATTAAAGAGATTAATTTAAAAGTTTATTTAAGAGTTAAAGAGTTTAATTGAAGAGTGACTGAAGAATATGACACTTTTCATTAAGCAGGACTATGGTCTCAATCTTGAACCAGTTTCTGTTATCCAGCATAATAGAAGAATTTTACTCAGGGAACAATCCAGTTCTGTGTGGAATAAATTGGGACTCATGTCGAGCATGTGGCTTTCTTCTGAAAAGAAAATATTTCCCCACTGACTGCTGCCCTCTGCTTCCCTTTCCTCTCCTTGCTGCCTGGCATCATCCGAAATTTGCTTCCCTGACCCATTTTTTGTGAAGGCTTCTCCAAGTGGTATTTGCCTGTCTAAGGCATTTAAGCCCGTGTTGTAAGTCTGTGTTCTGACTGCAATGCATGCTTGCATTTTTTTTTCCTAATGTCTGTTTTCTTAGACTGTGTAAGTGATGCTCATGAAGGATGGTCTATTAGTCACAGCAGAATAACAAAGATAATTCTGTTTGCTCTAGCAAAAGTCTGCCACTGAGAAAAACAAAATTAAAATGAGTATATTCAAATTGTCTCTAAATGTTTAAACATTGAGCTGTTCCATGCACACATAGATCTTCCTTCCTGAACCTGGGAAATTATTTAAGGTGAGATTCTATTACTGTTACCTGTACCCAGCAGCACATCTCACTGTAGGAGGAAACTTTGTAAAGAAAATAGGAGTATAATTAAGTGTTTGTATGAGAAAGACGTTTACAAGATCTCAGAGTGTTCCACAAGACTAGTTGAGAATATGTATCGCAATTCTTACCTTTCCATCTTCCATGTTTACAGCCACGTGGGTTGGAGGAGCATATATCAACGGCACAGCTGAAATTGTCTATCTGCCTTCAAAAGGACTATTGTGGGTCCAAGCACCTGTGGGATTTGCCTTGTCCCTTGTTATTGGTAAATCATGTAATTAGGACACATAAGCTTTTAAAAATAATCATATGAGTATATTAAGATGTATAACTGTGTTTAGAGTACGTTTTAAAGGTGACTTTGTTTCTTCAGTCTCCCACAGATCCTGAATAAGCATTTATAATGCTGTCCTCTAAACTGAAAGATAGAAATTGGGGTAGTTTGGAGCTAGTGTAGAGTTTTGCCTGCTTGGAGAATTTATAGCACAAAAATCTTATTTGTGAACTTTAGAAACATGTCACTGTGCATATTGCTTTTTTGTCGTGGTCTCTAATTCACAGACTATTGAGAGTATTGGTATAATTTTAATTTTTTCTTCAAAATTTCTGTGTGATAAAATAATACTATCTTGATTTTTCCACTAAAATGCATTCTTCTGAGTAGTCTCATCTCAGGATGAATTTGTAGTTCATCCAGCTTATCCCACTTTACAGCTGGTCACTGTTTTGTTGAAATTAAGCTAAGTTTGCAGTGCCCTATACCTAAGTGGCCATTTCTAACTCCAAAAATTATTGGACTCATGCTGAGGTTCAGCTGTTTTGTCAAGACCAAAGTTTCTTCCAGTCCACACTGAGTTATGCCATAACTCTCTGGGGACACAGAATGATTAATGCAAGGAGACCTGTGCATACCTGGCACAGGAATTCCTAAAAGAACAATAACCTTTACTCTCAAGTCAGAGAAAACAGTCCAACTGACGTGAATATGAATCAGGCTTGGAAATACACTGCCAGCATTTCTTATGTGAGTAATTCTTACTAATGAAATTGAGGAGTGCAGGTCTGATCCTGCAATCTTTACTCAGGTCAGTAGTGCCCAGACAAGCAGTCCTGTTGGCTTCAGGGTTAGGCACAATATGTATTCTTTGGTTTTAATGAGACGACTGTACATCTGAAGCCTAATATTTAGATGAAGGTGGGTGGGACTCAGCTGAATGTGCAGATTAAAACAATATAGTTCTGGGAAGAGAAAATGAAAATGTAACCAGAAAAGGAGCATATATCAACATGTTGCTTCACATGGTCAAGGACAAGTTTGGCTCTTTTTTAGCCAAATATGAGTCTTCAATGCTTCACTTTATTTATTGATACTTTCCACAGGAATCAAGTTCAGAAAACTTTGTGTCTCAGGTTGGTAGGTCACTGGAGATGGAGAAGAGTCTATATGTGGGTGTCCTCTAAGCTAAGTTCCTATTACAGTCACACAGGTATCTTACGCCATTTGGGATGCCCTTGGGAGTCCTACCTGGTCTTCAGTAGCCACTCTGGAAAGATGTAGGTCTGCCAAAATTCAAGGGTCCTATCTGTCAGCTGTAAGCAGATGTCCTTTATAACCTGAGACCTCTCAAATGGATGAAATCCCACATTTAGGCAAGTGAATTGAGGCCCCAGCGTCTCATCAGCTGCATCATTCTCTGGGGTCCATTATGTATGAATTCCACACTCACTATATAGGTCTGATACCCAAATACCATCATATTACCTTTTTCCCTCTAATATAAAACATGCAAATTTCTACTAAAAATGTCATCGCTTCTGACAGGTGGTTTCTTCTTTGTAAATCCAATGAGATCCAAGAATTATGTGACAGTGATGGATCCCCTTCAAGAAACTTATGGGAATGTGATGGGAAGCTTACTCTTCATTCCACCACTGCTAGGAGAGGTGTTCTGGTTTGCAGCTATCCTGGCATCCCTGGGTAAATACTTACTTTGCTGTTACATTTTTTAAAGGTCATGCAGTACAATTATCAGAGTATAATACACATTTGGGAATTGTGTTGGAAAGTTGTACTTTGTGTCTCCTTTTGTGAGAGAAATGCGAGCATTTTTAACTTCTGGAAACTATGTTTTTAGGTTTAAAACAAATGACAGCATTATATATTCATGACATTATAATACAGAAGTCTGGCAATATGAGAGAGCACCTTCCTCTTGCTGGGGGAGAGCAGATGTAGAAAGGCAAAGTGCCTGGCAAAGGTCATGCATCAAGGTAGCAGCAAGAGCAGAAAGGGAACATGGGCTCACCTGAGTTCCCACTCTGCCCACTCTGTGTACAAGATGCAATTCTCCTACAGTGTGGTGTGTCAGCAGAAAGGGAATAACATACCCTTAATTATTCTGTATTCTACGCGTTTGAAATCTGCCTTAAAACACTTGACTGCTGTCCTTTTCTGCAGGAGCAACAATGAGGGTTATCTTGGATATTGGAGGCTCTTTGGCTATCATCATCTCAGCATGTACTGTCATACTCTACACTCTACTGGGAGGCCTCTACTCTGTTGCGTACACAGATGTCATCCAGCTGGTTTTCATTACTCTCAGCCTGGCAAGTTCTGTGCATTTCTTTGTTACCAGTTCCCTAACTAAGGGAAAAAATCCTGTTCTTCTTTTCAGTATGTCTCAGATCAAAAATAACTCCACCAATACTGGCCCCTTCCCGACAGTTACTCTTCAGGACAATAGGTCTCCTGAAACATCTTACACTCCTTACACATTTCAGACAGTGTTCATACAAGCTATTGGCCTTGCTGGGTGAACACAGCTGCTCACAAGTAAGTTCTGCAGAACCCATCCAGAACAACGTTGGCTGGAAAGGAGAGGGATCTGTCCACTGAAGGCACCAATTGACCTGAATTACAGACTCACGTTCTTGATGATGTCACAAACCAGAAAAATGTCGATTTAGAGTAAAGAAAGGCAGGAAAGGAAGACTCATAGTCTGGGTTTAATCTTATGTAACTTTATATTCTACATCCACCTTAATTTCAATATCTGAATAGATTTTCCAACAACAAGGACCCTGGAGAAATGGTTAACTATTTCTGTTTCTGTCTTAGTGGGTCTGTATCCCCTTTGCCCTGGTGAACTCTGCAACGGAAAGTATTTATTACACTGCAACTCATCAATCTTATCAAGACCCTTGGATGGGGAAGATAGAACAACAGTATCTTGGAAGGTGGCTGGATGACTTCTTCTACCTGGTATGGAGTATTTATTGGATAAGTGGTTGGGAGAAGGGATTGTGCAGGGACTTTCTGTCTGGAAAACTTGTGGGTTCTTCCAGCCAGGAGCCCTAAATTGCACAGTTGACAGGGGCAGGATGTTGTGTAAAACCTTCTCTCAGCCATTCTGCAGCACACTTAATGGACTGGGGAGATTCAGAGCTCAGCTGTGGGAAGAAAAGAAGCAGTAGGAACACTTCATCCTTTACCCACATGAAGGAATGCACCTCTTGATTAAGACCATCCAGGCAACTAGTTCCACTCCTGGAACCTAAATGAAGCATTTCCTACCTTTTGAGAGGATGGTCTTGGAGCCTCAATAGTGCATTTTGAACATAATTATGTAAAATTCCCTCTATTTGAAACGAAATCTTAAAATGACACAACTGCAGGTCATCAGCAAGCCTGGTGCCATTGGCTCCAATGCACAACTCAACTTTTGTGCTACCAATATAGCCAAGACTACAGGAGGTTGTTCTGGTTTTGCTAGACTGGCAATAGGGATACACAGAAGCTTGAGCTTGTTTGGTGAGGACAGAATCTTCAGATTTTTATCTGATTAAATTTATCTGTTAAGAAAGTGAAAATTATGATTTTATTTTTAATTTTAGATTATACTTTAGCTAAGTTTGGACAGATTTTTTACAGAAGTTGCCTTCCTGAAAATCTTCTCTTTTCTTTTCCTTCCTCTATGCCTGTTCCACTATGCCAAGCAACCTATTTTTCAGCTTTCTCAGTCTTTCAATCCATTAATCTGTTTTGATCAAAATTCCACATCCATTACAATGAAAAAAAAAGGAAAAAAAAACCCGCCCTTGACCATCAGAAATATCATCCTCAATAGTTAAAGCTGGGTAATGTTTATGCATTTGAAACGAGAGTTTTATAACAGTGAAGATTATTATTCATCTGAATGGATGGATGATGTCCTACAGCAGCCTGGTGGATACCACTGGTAACATCTGAATATTTCAGGTGCTTGGGAGCATCCCGTGGCAAACTTACTTCCAAAGAGTGCTCTCTGCTGCTTCGCCAGGACAGGCAAGGCTCATCTCCTACCTCTCTGCACTTGGGTGCTTTTTAATGGCCATTCCCTCTGTGCTTATTGGTGCAGTTGCAGCATCAACAGGTAAGACTAATTGTTCGTCTCTGAATAATGAACATATTTTTGTCCTGATTTAGAATTTCAAATTACCTAGTCCTGTGTACCTAAAAGCTTAGCCCTGGCCACCAAGCTAGGTGGCCTGTACCAAAAATGTGGAGGTCTCTAAGGTTCAGTGCACAACTACCTAAAGACATTTGAACAGCCCCAAGACCTGTTTAAAGCTCTTTCATTATGATGAAATGGCTTTTCATGGACCTTGTATTGAGGAAAGATGAAGGCAGATCCTGTAAAACCCTGTATAATTCTATTTTCCAAGAAATCTTATGCTTGCTTCTATTAATGCCTTCTGCAAGTAAGACCCAGCAATACTACTACAGATTGTTCATAACGTTCTGAAGAAAACCTGCTTGAAGAAATCAAGAAGTTCAGTCCCGAAAACTCAGTTTCCTCCCAGGGCTCAGTCCTGTGTTGGTTGAGTAAGGGTTAAAGATCAGCCAGATCACCAAACATTTAAAGAAATCAGTTGAACTCATTAATTCATCTGTCACTAGCAGCATCAGAGCAAAACTCCCTTCTCCTCACGAGCAGGGTCTAGAATGTTGACCCTTAACTGTCCCAGTTCTGGGAACAGACAAAGCACAGCTATTTCTATACATGCTGCTGGGGAACAGAAAACTCTTTCCTCTAGTGAGAGCTGCAGCATGCTAAGGGCAATCACAAGAGATCATAAGAGAATCCAAAACATTAATCCAAGTCCTAAACCACCAAGTGAGTCTGTCCTTAGCCCTGCTGTGCCTGGTGCCTGTGGAAAGGCAGCAGAAACGTCAGTGAAGGATTTGTTGTGATTTTAACTTGTTCTGTTCTGAAGACTGGAACCAGACAAGCTATGGTCTTCCAAGCCCACTCGAGAGAGGGGAATCAGCAATGATACTGCCACTTGTTTTACACTACCTCTGCCCAGCATACATCTCCGTCGCTGGTTTGGGAGCTATCGCTGCTGCCTCAATGTCTTCCGCAGATTCAGCTCTTCTCTCTGCCAGCTCCATGTTCGCTCACAACATCTACAGGAAAATCCTGAGGAAAAAGGTACTTGGTTACTGCATTCAGCAGTTTTTTTGTGTTAGGAAAGGTGCTTGGGTTTCAAAACAGTTTCAAATCCAGCCTGTGTGGTCTGTGATTAGAGGTGTCAGTCCTTCAGCTGTTAAACTGAGTTCTGGAGCCAGAGCTTCAAACATAGGTCAGGGGTGTTCATATCCTTGGTAGGGATAAAAATACTCACACTGGTGAGTTTTGCTCTTTATAAAATGACTGGTATAAAATTTGGACCAGGATATTAATGGAAACAGCATAAAACCATGACCCTTAAAATCATAGAGGGCAGGTCCATCTCCAGGGGTGCCTCCCTTGGCTGCTGGTGGCAAGCACTGCCTGAAAGCAGTGATGGCTTGGTGAGAACCAGCCCAGGGCAGGGCAGTGCTGGTCACCCTGCCAGTAAACGCTGTGTCTATAATGTTACAATCACTGTTTTACAGGCTACGGAGACAGAGGTCCTCTGGGCCATGAGGACCTCCACACTGGTGTTTGGGGCTGGGGCTGCCAGTTTGGCTTTTTACTCCAGCTCTGTCTATGACCTCTGGTTCCTCAGCGGCGAGCTGGTGTATGCCCTGCTCTTCCCCCAGCTCTGCTGTGCCCTCTTCGCTCCCAGCACCAACACCTATGGCTCAGCTGCTGGCTTCTTGGTTGGGCTCCTCCTGAGACTGCTGGCTGGGGG